CATACATATCCTAGTGCTATAATGAGCTCTAAACCCTGAACTTAACAAAGTGAAGTTAACTGAACTTAACAAAGACCTGGCACACATTCAATACATGTGTTAACACATTTGCGGGGTTACATAAGATGAGCAATCTGAGACTCAGACAAGGTAGGCAACTTCCCTCATTAAAAGCCACGTAATGACCAGAACTAGAAAAGTTGACTCCAGAACCACATCAGAAAAATCCCTTCCAGACAACTCTATCAGCTCCTGGGCCTAACACACAAAGCCACCTAGAATCTGGTGTAGTTCCATGCTTTGCTCAACTTACGTCAATCACTTACCAAATATTTACTGAATTTCTACTATACTTTAAACATCACTGAGGAGAGGAAGCATTCAGATAGGATGAGTTAGAAAATAAATAAAAGATGTCTATATATCCAAAAATAAGAAAAAGTTAAAAGAATAATAAAATTAGAAACAGCACTGCCCTCTCCTAAATTCTGGATCAGCGAGAGGAAAAGTGAGGGCTGCACAGGCTCGAGAGGCTCTGGAGGGCCTTCCTTTTGTCTGTGTAATAGCCACAGACCTTTCTTTAAATAGCTCATGCTCAAGTATTTGCACCAACATATAGTGTACAGCCAAGCTTGAAAGCTCAAATGGGCCGGGGGGGGGGGGGGGGGGGGGGGGGGGGGGGGGCGGGGGGGGGGGCAAGCACACTGAGTAAAGACACTTGCTACACAAACCTGGTGCCCTGAGTTTGATCCCCAGATCCCACATGAATGTGGGAAGAGAATGATGTAACAAAGCTGTCTCCACGCTCACAGGAACACCCTGGCATGTGTGCACTAGTCACACAAATATATTTTTTAAAAGAAAACAAATTCTCTTTCTGCATGAAGCCTGCTCTATACATCAGGAAGTTTCACTCATGCCTCACAACTGTAGCGGCATTTAACTTTTTCTGACATGCCCTGATTTCTGCCATGTTAACCTGACCCCCTAGTTTTTGCTAACTTTCCCAATACTGTAATGATTTTTACTTCAAATGACTAATTTTAATTCTATGAAATAAAGATATGTATTTTTTTGAAGAACAAAGAATATTTCAGCACACTGGCTTATATATATAAAACTTCGATGTCCAATGTTTCAATAACTAACATCCCAGTGTCTTTAGGTAATACTTGGCATATAACACTTTTGTTGAAAAAATACTTCATGTTTTTTACAATATCAACTTATAAAACTGTAATTTACATTCTATTATAAATCATGAAAAATATCAGTGCCTGAGTTAATTCTGAAGAGATATTGACTCAATATTATTTCTTACACTGGAATATCACTTAAAAGACAAATGATAAAAAATCAAGAAATAATGGGAAAAATTACAACTTTAAAGAGTCGTGGTCTTTTTCTTTGAAAATAAGCTAAAAGGTGCAGAGGACACTGCTATAAATTCATGGGAAGAGGAGGCAGGAGGACAGTGAGTCTGAGGCCAAGATGGCCACAAACCAAGACTCTTCTTGTCTTAAAAACACTGTACATGCATGTATGTATGTATATGTATGTGAATGAATATTGAATCATGATTCATGTAGACTTTTGCTTGGGCGCATATAAAGATCTCTTTCACAGAAACCTGCTTATAATTATAAAATAGTTATTTAACACAGAACAAAAAAAATAATACTTCGGTCACACCTATGTGTTCAAAGAAACAACTGAGGGGGGCTGGAGAGATGGCTCAGCTGTTAAGAACATAGACTGTTCCTCCAGAGGACCTGGGTTCAATTCCCAGCACCCACATGGCAGCTCACAACTGTCTGTAACTCCACTTCCAGGGGACCTGACACCCTTACACAAGCAAAACAATGTACAATAAACAAATAAATTAATTTTTAAAAACTGAGTAGCAAAAAAAGGCCTCAAAATTAATAGGAAAAACGAAAGTATCATATTTGGTTGTGTGCAGCATCAAAGTAAAGCAACAAAAGAAGGCTTCTACAACCTCCTAGTTTTTGTTGAATTTTCTATATAAATGCACACAGAGGCAGAGAATGTACATGAGTAAGTACAAGAGTAAACGTCCATAGAAAAACAGGTCTCAATATTGAAAAGAGTATCCAACAAACATTTACCAAGCATATACATTATGTGCTAGGCACAGTTCTAGGCACTTGGAATATATTAATGAACAAAATCAGCAGAACATTACAAAAGTTATATTCTAACAAGAGAAATCTAAATAATAAACTAGGATTGTTTCCCACACATTTCTTATACACTTAAGGAAACAAGATGTCTGATATAATGGTGTCAAAAGAAGAAGAAGCAAACACAAGTAACTACTAGTAAAAAAGAGAATCTGAACAACAAATAACAAAGCAGAGCAGAGGAAACTGCTCAATGGAAGAGTGCAGAGCCCATGGTTCTATCCCAAGCCCTGCAAAAGAAAATAAAGCAGCCAAGCCAGACAGAGTTAAGTGATGAAAAACCCAACTTAATAACTTAATAGTCTGAGCAAGTCAGTATCAGTTCTCAAAGTTCTCAGAATTATAAAATATATTATTTACAAAAATTCTAATAAGTATACTAGTATAGATAATTCTGAAATCTAATAAATATATATAATAGTATAGATTATTCGGGATCTAATAAATATAATAGTATAGATAACTCTGGGATCTATAAGAATCCTAAGTATGAAAGAATGGGGAGTCTGACAATGGGGTTTTTTGCCAAAGGCAAGGATTTGATGACCATTACTATCTAGCCTTTATAGATAACCTAAAAGGTTATCTATAAAAAGAAAACTGCAGCAACTCACAAGGCTGTCATTACTAGGCCTAAGAAATAATCATAAACCAGGAAAAAACTCAAATGTCTAGTAACAAGTACATATGGATTATGTATTATTTGTAATTATTCAGCAATAAAAAGGAATACATGATGTATGAAACAAGAGAGAGGATTATTAATAGCATCATGCTGGGCAAAAGAAGCCATATACATCTAGGCATCCTCCATTTATACAAAACTTCAAATTGCAGCGCCAATCTACAGTAAAGCAAGTTTATAGTTTCCTGGAATTATAGTCCAGGGATTAGCTACAGAGAGACAAGAACACTTTCTGAAGTTGGAAATGTTTCTTATTCTTGCATGTATACATTTGTGAAACCTCATTAAATCTTTATTGTAAACTGTTGCATCTTTCCGAACTTATAGCTCAGGAAAATAGATGTTTAAAAAATGTTTATATTAAAATACCTAGAATTCTTAGCACAGTATCTGCGATCTAAATATTCGACAAGCAATAATATTAAAAAAAATAGCTACCACTATACAACATTCATGAAGAAACAGAATAACTGATAACCTGATTTTCAGGTTTTGAGTAGAAATAAATTACAGAGCTTTAGACCAAGCACCACGAGGAGCACTACTGGGATGGAGACTCAGGTGGACAATTGGCAAACCTTAGACAAAAGACAACAAACATAAGGAGGAGAAGAAAACAACGGAAAGACACTCACATGTCCAAAACAAATGGTTACGAGAAATATGTGGCCAGCACAGACAGTAAATGCTACCAAAAGCAAGCAACTTCTAAATTACCATAGCAAGACACTGCCAGAAGGTAGCTCAAAACTGAGTCAATGACTACCTAAGTAAATTTGCCAAACACGACTAAGCTCTAAATCTTAGGTATAAAAACTTGCCCTTAAAAAAAAAATTGGAGGTTTAAAAAGAGGCTTTATTTTATCTTCTATTGAAAACGTTAAGTCAGGTAAGCAAACACCAAAGAGAAATGTGATTAACTCAAAGCACCAACACAATGAGGTCAGAATTCGAGCAGCCAATCAAAGACTTTAATGCATTTCCTGCACTATTAATAGTCAAAAGAGAAAACCAATCACAGAAACCTCCAGCTTTCTTTTGACAGTCACAGAAGCAAGGGAACCAATCCACACACACCCGAGGTTGACAATAAGGCGGGACTGAAGGTTCATTGAAGAAATTCTTCAGGGTGCAGTTACTATGAACTTCGCACGCAAGTAACAACACTCCAGAGTCGTAAACACTGTCAAACCAGAGGAAAGTCATTCTTAGGTAAAATTTAACCCCTGGAAAGAGGGAAAAAGCATTTTTGCCCAAAAAAAGAAAATTTAGCATCCGGTCAAAAATGCAACTGTCAATGTGGACGCGCTGAGTCTTTCAACTTGGAAATGGCCATCTCGCATGCTAGCTACCTACCCGGACGCGGCGCCGAGAAGCGCGGGCCCGGAGGCTGGTTTCTAGCACTCGGGCTCCGTCCTAACGCCGTGCCACGGAGCAGGGCCAGCCGAGCAGGCAAAGCCCGCGCGCGGTGCAGCAGCGGGCTCGCTAACGCAGAGTCCCGCTCGGGAGTCCCTGCTCCGGAGCAGGGTTGCACCGCCTCGTCCCGCTGCCGCATCTCCTCCGGCGGGCAGCGCAGACCGTCATCTTGCCAGCACGGACCGTCCCCCTGCTAGCACGAAGGTTGTTTGTCTGGAAAGGGCTTTACTTTTCCTAAGCCGTTTTAAAAGCACTAGAATGCACACAAGGATTTTTAAAATGTAACGAAAAGATCGCCTAGCTAAACGACTTCCCGCCCCCACCCCCGGCCCCCTCGCAATCAATTAAACCCGCGCCGGGGACCGGTCTACAAGGTAAACAGAGGCCGTACGCCAAGTGCGGCCCGGCGGAGCCCTGCGCCATTCCCGGCCGCTGCTTACGGCAGAGCCCCCTTACGGCAGCGTAAGCGCCGCCGAGAGCTAATCACAACACTGGGACGCAACAACATGGCGGCCGCGGGCGGGCGCTGCGCCGGCCGACAGGTTTACGCTACTCCGCCGGCGTAGGGTCCCGAGCGCGCAGCGGCAGCGGCGCCCTCCAGCGAGCGTAGAAGCGCTCTGTGAATGGCGAGGCCCGGCTGACAAAGGGGAGGGGGGGAGGAGGGAAGGGGGGGTAATAAACACTCGAGTCCCTACCGATTCCTCCTCCTTCTCCATCCCGGTGGGCATCTGGGGCACGGCCCGGTTGATGGAGACGCAGTCGTTGAGATCAGGCATGTCCTTGCCGCGGTAGATGGGCAGCGGTTTGGCGGCGTCCAGCGCCCGCGCTCGGAAGGAGAGTTTACTCATTGTCTCCCCGCCTTACAGGAACAGCCCGGGCGGCGGCGGCGGGGCGGGCGGGGAGGGGGGGAGCACTCCCGCCGCCTCCTCCACCTCCTTCCTCAGTGCAGCGCGGCCGGCCCGCTCCTCCTCCTCCTCCGCACTGCCCCCGGCCCCAGCATGGGCGCCCACCCCGCCCCAGAACAGCCCCCCGCCGCCCGCGGCCGCTTCCACACTCTAGATCCGCCGCTCGCCCGCCCGATCCGCTCCCTGCGCCATGGCCAACATGGCGGACATTACCACAGCGGCGGCGAGCGATCCCGGCAGCCCGCGCGAGAGCGCGCCCCCGCCGCGGGGACGCGCGTCGCCCTCTCCCTCCCTCCCTCCCTCCCTCCCTCCCTCCTTCCTCTCCCTTTCCCTCCCCTGCCTGCCCACCCACTCTCTCCGCGGCGCGGCGCGGCTCGGCTCGGCTCGACGCGCCCGGCCGGCCGGCCAGCCAGCGGGCGACAGCGAGCCGAAGCCGGGTGCCCGGCCGCTCGGCGCGCAAGCGGGGCGGCAGGTGCCAGGTGCGCTCGCCCGGGCGCCGGAGCAGGCGCCTCTGCCTCGGCCGCCGACTCGTCCGGCGCGCAGGGCTCCCTCGGGAAGGCGCGGCGCTCAGGACCGCCCGCCCCAGGGGGCAAGGGGGCCGGGCCACCCGGGGCCACCGGCCGCCACTCGAGCCTGCGCTTCGAGAGCTCGGGTCTCCGGGGCGCCTGCTGCCGGATTCGCGCCCGGGGGTTGCGCATCCCGGGGAAGACACGAAAAGTCCGTTGCGGCTGCCCACGCCGAGAGGCACACAGCCCTGCTGCGTCTCGCGCCCGGAAAAAAAAAAAAAAATCGGGCAGCCCCCCCCTCCTTCCGACCAAAAGAGCGCCCCAAAGTTAGGCACCCTCGGTTTCACCGGGAGGATGCTGGTGGTAGCCTTGAGGGTTTATGGTTTGAGACTGCTGGGCGCAACAAGCGGACTTGCACCTGTCATCCAAACTTCCCTAGTTATTTAGTGGATGGGAGGAAGTTCTCTGATCTCAAAGAGAAAAACGCCAGTTCTTAAAGGTTCCTCTTGAAATCTTTTGCCAAAAATATTGGTTACTGTGACGACTCCAAGAGTTTAATAAAGTTCCTGAATCCAATTAAGTTGCGTGTTACTGTGTTACAACTGTTGAATAATTAGCAGTAAGAGTCGTAAATACTTAAAGAAAGGGGCAGCTGAAAAAGATTATAGTCCAAAAATATATACATAAGTGCTTGACTACTTCGAGAAAACGATACAGATGGCAAAGGAGAGTAATGCCAGGCTAATTACCAAAGGGCATCAACAGACAGTTGCTGTGGCCGGTGAGAGGAAGAGACTAGCTTTGGCCAGAAGAGGTAGACTACTATCTCCGCAAAATAATTAAATACAGCTACTCTTGACACAAACCTCTTTGCTGCCTAATTTCTTAGTCTTTAAGCATTGCAGGTTTCTCGGAAATTTTCCATGAAGTGCAAGAATTTTATCATTTTTAATCATTGACTAAAAAACCTAACTCAGAAAAGGGTTACGTAGATGGTTTGCTAAGAAGTCCAGCTGTAAAAACTGATTTCTTGGTGGGCCGTGGTGGTACATGTTTTTGATCCCAGAACTCGGGAAGCAGAGGAAAGCGAATCTCTGTGAGTTCGAGGCCAGCCTGGTCTACAAGAGCTAGTTCCAGGACAGGCTCCAAAGCTACAGAGAAACCCTGTCTCAACTATGTTTCTTCATTGCCAACCGCTTTTTTTTTTTCTACTTCCTTCTCTGCCTGCGTTTTTCTACCCTTCTTCCTTCCCTCTTTCCCCTTTGTCTCCACCCTTCCCTTTGTAGGCAGGATGGTTAATATGAACATTTAAATAACCTAGCCAGGTTGTCCCACCAGCACTTGGGAGCATTGTTCAAGGGGCTTGTGCTTTATGTCCACTGTTGTTGGGAACGGTGCAAACGCAGTGACTCGCTTCTCGTAAGCAATACCTTTTTCATGCTTGTGGATGTGCCCTGCTCTGGATGCTACCCTCTGGAGTAGTTCCAATCCTTTGTAAGGAAGAACAAAAAGTTCTTAGATGGAGGGGGGGTGGGGGGATGTCATTGCTGAGTTCAGGCCTGAAAGGCAGGGGAAGATAGTAGTTGAAAAAAAAATGAGTCACCCAGGCCTTTTATCTGGATGCCTGGCCCTTCTCAGGCTCAGATTGTGGGGTGAAGTCTCAAGCTGCTGAAGTTCCCTTAATTCTTACCTCTCTACACTCCTCATAGGGAAAAATACTGTCATGTTTACAAATAAGGAAACAAGTTACTAATAAGGGAACTTGTCAAGACCCAATACGACTAGTGGGTCACAGAGCTGGATTCAAATCTGGGTCTATGCTGAGTCCGGAACTCTGTGCTAACAGTGGGATACTTTAGGTGGTCTGTTGACCATCCAGTATTCAAAAGTTTCCGACCCAAAGTTAATTAGTGAGAACTCCTAACCGATGGCAAGAATGGCATCTCCCCTTTCATCCCTATGAACCTAGTTCCACACCTCACAAGAGGCAGGCGTCTGCTGTGTTTGCCGATTGATAAGAAGTTGTGTCATGTCAGTTCCATGAAGACCTGCAGTACTGCGGACCCTGATCCACCCCAAGCTGGAGCTGGAGTGTCTTCTTGGCTTGGCATCAAGTTCATGGATGCTAAGGTTTCTTCTTTGGCCTGCCCTGTTCTTCAGATTCTTACCTTTGGCCCTCAGAACTTTAGAACCAGCAAGAACATCCTAAAAAAACTCTTTTTCCCTAGTGTAAAACTCAACCATGGGAACGATGTGTGCATCATAGTCCGCTTGCTGTTGTTCTTTTGCTTTGAACACCTAACAAATTTTCCCCAAAGGCCCCTTTGCTTTTTTTGCAGCGTAGGCAATGATCACAGAACTAAGAATAAAACTGTTGGAAGCAAACGTCCCGATGCTCTTTCACCTGAGCCACAGTCCGTGTTCCCTTAGCTTCTGATTCAGTGCCCAAACCCAAATGCCTGTTTCACATCTGGAAAGTAGTTTTTCCTTGTCTACAAATGTTATTTATGATAAAGTTTATTTCTACTTGTTAAATACTTTTGTTTGCTAGAGCTAAAGACACAGAAATCTTTTCAACTTCTGAAGTAAGTCCTTTTAGGAAACTTCTTTATCGAAATCTGTTTCAAATGGTTACGCAGCCTAGCCTACTCTAATTTCCATATACAATGCTTACGCACATATATGCAGCCTAGCCCACTCTAATCTCCATATGCAATACATATGTACATGTACAGCCATCCTAAAAATCAGTCGACTTCAAATATATTCTGGGTCAGTCCAAATGACAGTCATCTAGTTTAGCGAATGCAATATACAAGCGCCAAGAATTAGAACCGGTTTTATAACCATGCAAAAATACACATATTAAGTAACTGTAAAGAATTGAAATTATATGTCAGTTTCCGTTTCCCAGTACCGTAATCGGGGCTTCCAAGTACTCGACAAGTCACTTTTTGAAAACAACCTTTAAACTAGTAAACACAGTTGCTATTCAGCGATCTCAGGGTTTTGCAAAATGTCACGCTGTTTCTAATTGATTCCAAGTCTCCGCAAACACAACGGAAAGTTAATTGGGTTGGTATGTGGACGGCATCTCCACCCTCCCCCTCCCCACGTGCCTAGGAATGAACCTCATACTAATAAAGCTTCCTTGTTCCCCGTAAGTCATCTAAACGTGGGAGTCTGCATTCGTCACCATCAACTGAAATCGGTCCTGCAGTCCCAGTGCGCTTGACGAAGAGCGCTCTCGATCTTTTTGAGATGTTGGGAGAGAGACCGTGCTGAGGGGACACGTGACAAATACCTACTTCCACCCTCCACTTGCCACTGGGAACGTGAGACAGTAAGTAAAAATCCGTCGCTGCGGCTCAGATGCAGGAGCAGCATCTCCTCTCTCAGACCTGGTTGGAATCACAGGGTGCCACCTTGTGTATAAGCTGACAATTTCCTTCCGCGCTCCACCAAGCCTCCAGACTGACTCAAAAATAGTCGGGCCCCAAACCCCTGCATCTCATTAACCGAGGAGAGATGGGACAGATTAATTGAAGGAAACAAATTTGAAAACACCCAACTCTACAACGCTACCCAGAGCATCTACAACGCTTGATTTTAAATCTGACAGCCTGTCTCATTTGTCTCCCCACCCCTGACCGGAAAACACACCCGATGTCCCCACATATGGAATAGATTGACACCGTACACTCAGGCTTTTAAGTGGGGGAGGGGGCAGAAGTAATTAAACTCTTGCGATGGGGCTATTATTTCTGACTTGATCTGTGTTCTCGCATGCGAACAAGAGAGCTACTTAATATCGGGACTTTGAATTTCTTAGAAGCACTAGGTTCTGTTCCACTGATGAATATGGTACTACTTATTTTAATAGCTCTGTTTGGGAAAAAAAAATGAACTGGAGACCGGGAAATACAAGCAAAGTCATGAATGGTAAAATAGGGTCTCTTTCGGTGCTGCTACTTGAGGAAAACAATCTCCACCTTCAGTACTGCTCCCATGCACTGCTACCGCCTCAACTCAGAGAGCTTCCTGCACCTTTTGTGTTTTTCCTACAAGGCACAGGAATGAAGAACCGTGGCTGCATGCCTGCTGCTGGATAGCTCTCCTGTAACAGGCTCATCTCAGATGCCTTCCCCAGTTTCCCCTACTGGCTCATCATTTTCTTAAGCACCCAGGAAAGGTAGCTGGGAAGAGATATTCATTTATTCACATTCTCCCTCTCCTCCCAGTTCCTGGCCTCTTTGACCATGAACAGACTCAGAGCACTCAGCTCTCCGAGGTGGACAGTGTTGGCTGAGAGGACTCCATTGCTAGGAAACCCGGGCTCAGCTACTTTCAATGCAGCTCCCTTACTCTCACCTGTTTTGTTTTGGTTTGGATTTTTAATCTCTCCCACTAACAAAGAGCTGCTGTTTACCGTATAAGCGCAGGTTTATGAATAAAGTCCGCAGCTGGAATCGTGAATTAAAGAAAACGGTGAACTGATTTAATACGAGTCATCGTGCCTTGTTGACCTTATTGTTGTGGTCCCAGAACATGGTGTTTGCAGGGTATGGAGAGCCCCCTGAATCCCACCGAGAATCGTCAGGAGGCAGAGAGGAAAGCAACTCCGTATGTCCAAATCAAAGGGCCATTTCCTTACCTTTCATCTGCTGTTAGAGGAAACTTTGCTGGAAAGAAACGCACCCCTGAAATAAAACGCTAATTA